CCCCCTTCCAGCTCCCCGGGGAGACGCAGCGCCCCGCAAAGCCGCCCAGCACCGCACCAGCACCGCGCCAGCAGGGCCCGGTGCACACCAGTTTTTTTTTTTTAAACCCTTAAGTACAAGGCTGGACCAGAAACCCTCCGGCTTTTTCTGGGAGCTTGTTTCAGATTTGCAGTTTTGCAGGTGATCAGGGCTGGGGGGGAGTTTAATGTTTAATTTTGACCACAGCTCACCTCTGGCGGGGATGGGAGGGGGCAGCCTGTGCCAGTCTCGGGTTGCTTGCTGCCTGAAAAACATCGCCTCGCTCGAAAACTTTGGTCCTCCGTCCACAAGAAGTGCCAAAAAAAGTTTGTCCATTCTTCAAATTATAGGACTGTGCGGTTCTGTGGTTTTCTGTGGTAGAAGCTCTGTGGTTTCTAAAGCTATTTTGTGCACCTATAACACAGAGTAGCTGTTAGGCTTGTCTTAAATGGAATTTTCGAAGCCAGAATCCCAAGCTCTAGCAATTTCTTTTGCTATATTTAAATACAACAACTACAACAAAGTCATGTAGCCATCGCCATGGTAACTAGCAGTGTTGGGGGGAAAACATAAAGAGGAAAATTCAATCCAAACCCCGTGTAATTTAACCGGGAGAAAGCCATCCCTGTCACTGACATCCCACACGTGCTTGATGGCATCTACAAACCTTAAAATTCCGGCAGGTCCTTGAAGCAGCTGCTCTCAGGTGGGGCTGTATCAGGTCCCACCTGCCCGGGACTCATCCTGCGTGCCGAGAGCAGGGTGCTTTGAGCTCCTGAAAGGGTCCGGGGCTGCAACAACCCCTCTGCCACCAGCCAGGCTCTGGCTCAGCGCCGTTCAGAAATGTGCTTCCCATGGATTTGGGCGAGAAGGAATAGATTTACAAGCCAAACCCCTGTAACCTAAAGCACGTTGCCATACACAGTTCACGGGCCCTGGAGATAACTGCCTCAACTGACTGATTCCCAGGGAGTCCTTAAGCCTCTGTACCGTTTGATCCCAAACAGCCAATTCCCCATCTCTTAGGCTGAGATTGGGAATAGCCTCTGCCACAAAATAGTCTTTAAACTTGAAATGCACCGCGGAGGCAAGGATTTATCCTCAACTTGTTAGGCAGAAAATATGTTTGATTTAATCTTTTGAGGTCTGACTTTTCAGCCACAGTTATTTGATCTTATAATATTTTATGTAGACACAAAAAA